ACCAAAAACGTTTGGCTATTTTTGACACATTTGGATTACATTCACATTCTGGTGCTTTGTAATCAAAAGAACGCTTGTCATCGGATTACTATTATTCATGACCGGAGGTACAGAGTGAAGTATATCGTGCACAAACTAGGCTTTGCCATTTGTACGGCCATGACGCTTGCTCAATAATGTTTGTCTGACACAAAAAAACTGAAACTACACGCGGATGACCAAGCTAAATTCGGTTCAATTTGAAAAAAAACTATACATTTGCCTGTTTGTGCAAGTAAGAGGAGTCATGCTAACGTGTCCGCCGTGCCACGGAGCTTTGTCCGCCAGATATCAATATTCTCCGGAAACTTCTGAGGTCATCAGCGGCTGCCTTAAAAACGGCCTACCTACTCCGTAAAGTGAGCAAATCAGTGTGCACTATTCAACCAACTGCATCACTTGCATTACCTATTCCAGGCAACTCTGAAATTGTTATCTTCATTCGGTCACGTCACCATTCGTTATTGCTGAACGAGATGTATTGCTAGGAGAACATGAATTGTGTGTACAATGTTAGCAGCACCTGGTTATGAATATCCTTCAGACTATATGGTGAGGTTTTTCTACTGCTAATTTTTGGTTGACCTAACATCTACTTCTAATGAATTGGCTTGGAGTATCAGTTTCCGGAGAACAAAACACATGTTCACCTGTGGAAACGGGCGTGGTGCCACTTGAACTGTGTGCAGCATCCAATGGTCTATTTTAGGCGGTGCAATATTGAAAATCCGAACTTTCCAGGCATCTATTTTCGGGAGCATAATATCCACCGTTTCTTCAAAACGGTTTTGGCTGTCTCGTCAGCACTCACCTGGAATTTTTTTATCACTAATCCGTAAACGAATTGAAAGCTTCGAGCCATTCTTTGTTCCGTTGACGTTTGCTTGTAACGAACGTTAACTAGACTGTTTTCCAACCCTGTCAGATGAAAATCCAATGTCCAACATCTGGCCCGACAATCTTTTGGTCGAGACTCAAGAACACTCGGATTAAGTGTGTGGTATACGAGCAACAGCTTTATAGAATAAACAAGTTAATGTTTTAGGTGGGGTAAACCTGTTAAAATCATGAGCACCATTGCGCGTGCGCAGGAAAATAACTGTTCGCACTTTGGCAACAAAAGTTTCATCTTCAGACATTTGGCTATTCCAGGCTCAGTGAACCAAGACTCAGTACACTGTTGAATGCTTTGTCACTGCTAATGTGTAAGTACTAGCGAGACAAAACTGGATACTTTTCAGTCGAAAATTTGTCGGGTTTTTGAGATCCATCTAAGGAAAAAAACTAAGATGTACTTAAAAGCTGTCAAATCGGTAAAGGGCTTCTAGCGCATCCTGGGAGTTTTGGGCTTTAGATGGGGTTTTACCCACCCAAGGGTGTGAGCCTTCGACAATTACACGGTTTTAAGTGAAAAAATAATGTTTGCCGAATGTCACAGGTTGTAGTATTCATGACCATACATATTTACGTGGGCTATCAAACACAGTGGGATCTCACTGGTTTGAAAATCAGGACAAATATTTAAGTTGGATTTTAAAATAGATCTTCCTCTAGATATGAAAACGGAAAGTCATTGTTGTTTTTATGGAAGCAGACATTTGGATTTCCCCCGTGAAATGCCATCTTCGCCCATAGCACCCGACGAATCATCGAACGCTTTGAATAAGCAAATAGATTTTGCCAAGAGTCCGACACATCTCCAAAAGCAAGTCATCCGTATCTTACTTTTTTTGTCACACTTCTTGAGATTTTGTGAGGAGACCAGCGAATTGTTAAAAGAGTAGTTGGCTGTGGATTCTTCTATTGAAGCTGGTTCGTGAGATAGACTTATGGGTAATGTTTACCAGGAAATTTCTACGACTGAACTGCGCACCCATCTACAGTTGTTTGGGTAATGCACTTTGAATAAAGCGCTCATTTTGTCAAGGTTCAAAGAATCCTTATAAGGAAGCTGTTTAAAAATTTTTTGGAAGTTTCTCGAAGGTTCACCAACTGGTTCGCACCTCATTTGGCTCACCATGCCCCCGACTGTTCGCCAACCTTATATTTTGCATGAACCCAAATTCGACAGATCCCGACAAATGCACCCCAGTTGATGTCTAAATGAGCGTTGTACGATCCTGTGCTAAGGCCTTGATCTCAAAGCAAGGAATAGGTTACTTAGCCTAAACGCACGATCTAGGTGTCCTATCTGACAGGTAACGTGTAGTCTAATTCACCTACGGACAGTCAGTAGTAATTGCGGCGAAACCGAATTCTAAGAACTTCCCCTGCTTTTGTTCAGTAGTCGCAACTGGGCAGTGAATAATATATTGAATTGGACTTGGGCAGACAGTACAGATAGGTAGACCGTGTTTCTGCAGGAAATTAACAGTAAATCATGAGGAGAGTTAAAGAAAGGCTTACGGCTAGATTGAACCTTGGGCAGTTAGCAACACAGGATGGCACACGAAGGGCAGCGTGCTATCGGACAAATTAAGCGGGAAAATTGTTCAGTTCAAAGTGGAACAAAATTTCAACAAGTCCATGGATAAATGTAAACAAATCGTCTATAGAAATGGTTGTGGTAGAGTCGGCTTTGTATAAAATAGAACGGTTCAGTCTTGAAACTTAAGCAGTCACGGAAGGGTGATGAACTAGTCTGAGGAATAGGGAAACAAATAATTACGTCACGTAATTAACAAGCGTATTTTTTCAAACACTGTCATTTACCAGAGTGGGAACCGGAAAAGCTCCCTTTGTCTGTGAAGGTGTACGGTACTAGGGTATTATTCATCTACTCACTAAGGTAGTGTATCCTTGTGTGTATACATATATACACAACTAATGGAATAAAGAATAATTCAGTGAAAAACCTCAACATTGGAAAAATATGTTCACCGGAAAATTGACAGTGAAGTAAGTTTGCAGAAGAACTTACTGGGCACACTTTGCACGAGCTTGCGACTGAAACACATTTTGTGTTATTTTTTAATATCGATGGGCACACCATACACTCATAACATTGGATTGCATCAGCTACAGTGAAGAAGCGCATATTGTTGATGAAAGCTTTCTAACTCGCCTTCTCGTGACGTTTGAATAAACATAATTAAAACGAGCGGAAAAATAGCATTACTCAAGATGTAGCACCAAGGGTAGTAGAACGAGATGCAATTCAGATATCTCTTAAAACATCAATCTCCAGTGTAACACAGTGTAACAAATTGTAACAAATTGAGGATAATTATGTATAGCTGAGTTTTTGCGATATTTTTATAAACCTTGCTGAACACGACGTCCTGAGCTAGATACTCAATCAAATCTGCGGTGAATTGCCTCTTGCAGAAGGTGTTATTTAGTAAGGTTGCACTCAGATTTTCCAGCAGAATGTTCTGAGTGATATCCTCCTAAAATTTCGTAGATTTTAAGGTTTCTACTTCATAATGAATAGCTGAGATACATGTCTCTACGATAAGTTATTTGATTTTACTGACCCTAGATTTCTGCAATCCTGTCGTATTCTGGGAGGATGAACCAGTAGGTGACCCTTTACCTGAGTTGTGCTGTCCTTTATCCTTGTGGGACTGGTCGTCTTGACCAAGCATCAAGAAAGGGTATATTTGGTTGTTGCGACTGGGTGTACTAAAACTTGTATCCTATGGAATCTGCAACAGTCCTCTAAAAGATTAATTCCCAATAGCAAATTATTTATAACGGTGAAATATATCTTTTGTTTTTCTAATGTATCAACTGATCGCCTTATAAGTCGCCAGCAAGAGAAAATTTCTGCAAATATATTGCTTTGATGGAGTTACCTGGGTGCCTTTTCCATATAGAAATTTTGATTCCACAGATATTTACGCAACTTGGCAACCCATTCAGTTGTGAAACTTGTAGAACGGATCAACCTCAAGTGTCTGTGAGAGCACCAGTACTAAAGCCAGCTCGCAATTCTGTTAATTCCAACATTTTCTTGACTTTACCATCACATGCGTGTCTACCTTATGATGAGATCCCAGAAAAGCAAATCGTTATTACCTGGTTTCTTGTCGGACGTTTTTCTATAGATTATTTAGGCTGTTATTTAGGCAAGCGTTCCCCACCTTAACACAGCTGGATCAATATTTCTGAAACTGTACTGTCTGAATTTGTGTATAATATGAAATGTTTTCTTCCGTTTAGTCCCAACCAATTGTTGTGTCTTTAATAGTACGACATTGAACTTTTAAAATTAAAATATGTATTTGATTTACTTTCATGACGCCCCAGTTTTGCGTACCTGTATGAATGTGTCTCTTGAAGTTGATTAAGTAGTCAGGGAAAAACCCCATCTGTGCTAGTAAAATGCTATATACTGGTTGGTTCTGTGCACCATGGGGGTTCGGTGGTTTCAAATTTCGTCAAAGGGTTGTACATTTCTCACAAATTTAGTGATATTTTATTGGTGTGAGAAGATTTTGGTTATCACCGCATTATTCAAAATGATCTTTTCAGTCTGACTAACGGTTAAAACAGAAATGACCCGACAGCTGCATCACCCAGCATCCTTGGCGCACACATCCACAATACTAACGATTACTTTGGGCTTTTTAAATGGAATTTTTTATGAAGCAGCATCAAAGTTATAATACATATTATTATACCAACGTTTGTGCAGTGAATATCTGAAAAAAAATCATAATTCATCGGAACAAAAAACAATACAAACATACTCGTTGGCTGACTACACACATGGTCATGTGTAAGTTTAAAAAATAGTCCAAGATGAAAAATAATGTACTGGCTAAATGCGGTTCGGGAAAGCAACACCAAAACTCCAAAATGAATACAGTAGTGAAAATATTTTTGAGAACATAAACCGTGGTAAAATATTGGAACTCAGTTAATGTAGCAGGGTTAACCTGGAAGAAATCCAATTAATACTGATATAATTTGAGGCGACGCCCGCATTTTGAACACACTTGCAATTTCATACTTGCTCAAAAAAGGTTTGCACTTGTAACCTGTTGCCATGATTCCAACCGGAACTAAATATGCTCTTGATTGATCCGCGCCTTTAAACACGGCTTCTCGTTGATCTTTCTGTGAGCACGATCACCGATGGAATCTCTTGATCTACAAGAGGCAACAAAATGTCTAATGTCAAGGCGGAAGAGCCGGAGATGCAGAAAAAAGTTAATTCCTCCTCCACTTATGCCTTGGGGTTATTTAAATTATTACCTGTTTGCAAAAGGCAACCATGATAAAATTTCTTCAAAATATTGCTTATACAAAGCAACCGGCGAATACCTTAGAAGAAAGGCAACGGGAAAAAATCTTTGTGAGGCCCATCGAGTATGACTGTTCGTTTGTATGCTGAGTACTGCTATGCTATGTTGCGGTTTGAATGATCAATGTCTTGAGTCTGTCTGCGGGATTTTAGTTTACTGTCAAGCATTTTTTCATTTTGCGTTTTACAAAATTAAAGCAATGTCGGGCAACTAAATTGGAGCAGACAACTGCTGCTGATCATTTTTCTCATGTTTGTGACACTTTAAGGATTTCAGCCAACTCAATGATAGCTAAATAAATATCTTCCGATAAAGCGGATGGACTGTGACGGTAATTCGTGTTCCTTGAATTATGGATGTAGGCCTCCTTCCACGTTAAACTCTGTGATATTTTGTCATTCTACATTACGCGAGAAGCGTGGTATAATACTTAATATTAAAACACAACGGACGTCTTTCTCGAGCTAGGGGTATCCCTGACAGCATTATCCAAATGTTTTACATATCACGCACACGCATTGTCCCTTATCTGGTGACATACACTGCACATTGTGTGAGTATCAGCCAAACGAGCGCGTTACATCTATAGTATTATTGTGTTTTGTGGGTACTATCGCGCAAGTGCGTATTACTTTATCCGATGCTCCATCTTGATAAAGTTTTTGGGAGTATTGGGGTATCGAAATAATATCCGATGAATGGATGACTATCCAGTTTAACTTCTCAATAATCCGCTTGATTTGTCAGAACACCTAATTAAAAT